ACAGAAATACATACATTTCATTTTTGAGAAGTGATTAAGAATGAAATACCGACTTCTTCAAAATCAGTATCAATTGATTATGAATATCAATATGGGCAGTCTATATTTTACAGGACCCTAAGTATCAGAGATTTTTTATTTAGTTTCCATGTAACTAATTTCTTTCGGAAACAGCATTCAAAACTTTTTATCATTCAAATGCTTTAGAAAAATTCAGCTGTGCTGTATCCACATTGTGGCTATTGAAGCAATTATTGAAGATTATATTCCAGAACTTCTTCTCACTACTACTTTGATCTGAAACATGCAAGAAGAAATTTCTTTCAGTTAAGAGGACTAAGGTGCAGACCAAATCCTCTGGATGACAATTCCAGGTTGTGGAGCCTCCATCTCTGGAGATACTCCGAAGCCCCATGGACACGACCCTGTGCCCTGTGCTCTGGGGAACCCTGCTTGAGCAGGAAGCTTGGACCAGAAGACCTCCAGGGGTCCCTTCCAACTGACCCATTCTGTGACTTGGTGAATGTGAAGTCGAATTTTTCTTGAAGTTTAAGGCACCTACACCAAACTGGCTTTCCAAAATGTCCTCTTCCACAAATATCATACTGCCACATTTACCTTTGTATTTTAAAGGTTTCCCTCTCTTCTTTCAACCCCCTGAATCTGCTGGTTTAGTCTCTCATAAGCTCAGCTTTGCCAGGTCATCAGCTACTATTCCACAGATTTTGATTTTAGGGGAAGTTAATAGAGTCAAAGGCATCTTTATTATATTGAAATTATTAAAGATCCATGATGAACCTCAGTGTTTTTCACCACAGAAACTGATTTAAGCATTTGCATAAAAGCTGAGCTCAATCAGGACCAATAAAAAACACTTTAAAAACATCAGAAGTAAAAGACCTTGACTAAACGTATAATTTGATTGTGAAACTATGATTACCATGTATATATAATCTACTGAAGTCCACATGGGATACTTGCATTTAATATTTAAGAACCTCTAAGAGTATAGGCAGGGCTCTGTAAGGCCCAAATAATCCAAGTCTCTGCCAAATTACATTCTCTGGTGTTACATGTTCTTTGTGCAGGGAATGTCACAAGCAATATTATAAACACAGGTTTGTAAATATTCATTGTTTTATGCTGCATAGGCAATTCTGTGAGACTGAAATATTTAACAAGAGAAGGTTTAGACTAGCAAGCCTTTTCATACTGAAATGCCTGGGAGGCTGAAGGAACATTCTCCCCAAAACATAAATACCCAAGGAAATGTTGGTTATACCCCTGTTCATTCAATACACCCCATTTACACACGTACAAGCTGCTGAATAATGGCCACTGTCTGCCATGAGCCTGTGCAGGACTACAATTTACATTTGTGAACTCAGTTTCTCTTAACTAAACATCTGAAACACATCATTTCAGAACTGGCATAAACTAAAGACAAAGAATCTGCTTTGGAAACATTTTCTTGTTCCTTTAGCCTGTGGTCTTTCACTATTGTAGCTGATCACTTTGCTTTTCATTTCAGAGCAAAGGATCTCAGCTGTCCTTTTTGCTAGAGCTGCTCTCGTGGTCATAAGCACTACTTACAGACTGTTCATGCAACCCTTAGAGCTGCTCCTATCAAGATTCCAGGTCAGCATTGTGTATTGTTCACAGAATAAATACTCTTTAAAGAGTTATTTTTTTTGCTACCCCAACTGTCTGAAATACAATCAATTCAAATAACTCAAAATAATTTCTCTAGTGACATTATGCTTGTGTTCATGGTAAGAAATAGCCACCTAATATTTTTGTGAACACCTTGGCATAATAAGTACTATTATTCAGAATATTATTTGGAAGAATATTAGGATTATTCCTAGAGGCCCAGTCAAGACTGGACATCATTTCACTATGCACTCCCTTAGCTTAAATGCACATAGAAATAGACACAGGTACAGCACATGGAATTGCATATAGATATGATGGAGAGTTCCAGACTTCCCATTCCTGTCTTGCAAAATTACATGGTGCTATTGCTTAATATTTCTCTGATTTTTGAAAGTCTAGACCATGCTTTAAAGTAGGAAACACTGAGCACCACCCAATACCATTAATAGAAAATATTTGGATAAAACATATGTCTAAACTACCTTAGACATGATACAATGCAGAAGAATCTAGAGTACACTTGCTGCTTTCCATTGTGGCTTGCACTTGGAGACAAAAACTAAATGCTCTAATTATGTTAGTCATTCTGACATAGCTATTAAGGTCAAAATAAATGCAAACGGATCATTTTCACTGGTTTAATGTTAGTTCTCATTTACCATATGATTATAAAAATTTCAAAGTGTTGTTTCCATCCAAACCAACATCCATCAAATACTGCTAAAGAATAAATTGTATAGCTTAACTCTTCTAAAACCAACTCCTTAGGAACAGCTATCACCAAATCAGATGGAAGAGACTGACAATCATGACGAAACAGCGAAAAAGGGAAAAATGTGAAAAAAATATCACTGTGCTTTACAAATACATATTCATTATCTTAAGAAAACAAAAGTATATGTATGTTTTAAAAGAAAAATATTCTTCTGTATTTTCTTTTTACAGAAATTAAATCTCAGTTCTATGTGTGGGACTGAGCTATTCAGTAGCTTGAAAAAGCAGGAAGCTTTCTCACTCCTCAACTCTGTCTTTTTTAAAAAGTGGCTTTCCATAAGAACTGCTGGAATGGAATTGGCAGTTCTCTTTCCACATCATCCATGCTTGTGCAGGACAACACAACTGTTCAATTCCATTTTTCCTATTAGAAAACCAATCCCCTGGTGGTTTGGGTTCAGGTATGAACTTTCTGAATGCAGCAGCCCCTTGACAACTGCCAGTCTGTTGGCTGTTACACTGATCCATAAAAATACCCCTTCTAGCTGCTTCAAAGCATTCAGGGCAGGGTTTTGATCCTTCTGATACAATTTTCTCCTCAGACATTGCAGAGAACAGCTCAGACTTCTAATATTTTACCAAGGTTTTTCACTGCCTACATGGGTGGTGTCACACAGAGACATGCTGCTGAGATCTGAGGAAATGGCCATGCCTGATTACATAAAAATCTGTATCAGTTCTGTTAATTCATTTCCTCAAGTTTGGCTACACACATGCCCCCAGGTCTGGCCATCATTAAATTCTGTTTGTTGTGGAAATCTGCATTAATGCAGATTGCAGAGGGCACTCAGTACTCACATTCACATTTGTGCCAAATTAAGACCTAGAATTTCTGGTTGCTGTATGGACAATTGTCATTGCCACGTCCCTCCCCAAAACTCCAATCAGGGCACTCACAGGGGAAAAGACCTAAATGCAGACTCTGCAGTACCTCTCAAAATACTTTCCCTGAGCCTTGTCATTAAAAGCAGAATTGTGTTACAGCTCTACAACATCTGTAGGCATCCAGAAACTGACCCAAGATTCCCTCTTATTCTTGGCTTGTTCAAAGGGAACAAGATCTGCTCCTCTCATCAACCACGTTGACTGTAGGTAATGTTAACAAATTAAATTGTTCAGTTACACTGTTTGGGAAGTTCACAAGAATGGAGGACATAAAATCCCAGCTAAAACCAGGGTATTTTATTATACCTTGTGGTAGAAGAAAAGATTTGAACTTTGGTTAATAATTGACCAAGCCACTTTTAGTGAGGGTCATGGAGGGAAGATTCACCTTTCTGCAGCTGTTTATGTGAGCTCTTTACATTTTTTAAATCAAGTTAAATACATTCTCTGCTTTCAGAAGCTATTGCCATATTCTTAACTATATCTCTTAGCAAACTTTTGCTAAAGACATCTTTCTGTTTTGGACTGGAAATTCTGCCCCATGCTTTACATGACATTAATCTAGCATTTTTGAGTGGCAAAAGAGAAAGGTGAAGTTACATAAAGACAATTCATCGTGATTGTTTATTAATTATCATTAATAAATCAAACTTTCACTGCCATCTATAAAAGCACTGATTAGTTTTGGCACTAGCAAAATTATAGCTTCATCTACTCATTCTCTCTTATTTGTCTTGATCCTTGCTTCTGAAGTCCTGCTATTTCCTTTATTTTTATGGCCTTCATGTACCTCTGTATCACGTTTACTAAATGAATTCACCCAAATTCAGAATAAATTACCTTTCCTAAAATCTCTCAGAAACTGGACAATTTCTTCCTGATTTTTAGGAGCTGAAATCCTAAAAATCCCAGATCCTTTGGTGGATTTTTTTTGTTATTTCCTGTAATGATTTCTTCGACATTTATTATTTTCTAGGTGCACATATTCTGAGGTAAGCAGGATAAATGCCACACAGAACAGTAGATGAGAAGAAAATGACCCCAATTTATGACATTGGAGATGAACTGCTTTCACATTTTCATCAACTGAGAAAATTAAATAAAGAATTCGTTTGGCTGCTCTGAACAATGGATTTGCAATTTGCATAGAAAAAATGATGGCAAAACCTCAGAACCCATCTCAGAACCATCAGTGTTTTACCACAAGCTCAGTTCTATTACATTACAGTGGAGGTTCAAAGTTGTCTAAAAAACCCGTTCTCTTTTTCCCCAGCCGTAAATGTGTCACTTGAGAGTTCAACATCCAATAGAAGCCGTATCTGACACAAAACTAATTTTAGAATATAAAGTGCTCTTCACCATACTGGAATACATATAATTTAAAATAACTGTAAACCTAAACTTTGGAAAAACAGAAAATTTAAGCACTAACAAAAAAGCATAATTTGTAATTGAAAGAAAATAATATTTGAAAGGAAAAAAAAAACCTTTTTTTTTTGTCTTTCCAAAAAGAGACAGAAATTACTAAGTTTTATTTCCCAAGAGAATTATGCCACTTTTATAAAGAAAATTACAGTCACCACAAATTGCTCTCAACAATTCCAAAGCTTCTTCATTTGACCACTTGAAAATCAGAGTTCCTTGAGATTATAAATATAACTTTTTATAACTCTGTTATTACGTACTGTGAATGGGGAAAGGGGGCCAATCTTGTGGCCGTAGCGTCGAATGGCCTCTCTGATGTGGCTGGGCTGGATGGCATCACTTTGAGCCTCCATCCCACAGGCTGCAGTGCTCTGCAACAGAAAAACACATAAATTGTGACTAAATCAAAAACACACAACAGACCTACAGTGCATAAAGTATGAAAATAAACCTTTATAAAATGGACCAATTTTTTTTTTTTTCACGAGGACACACATCATCGGTGCCACACACTACATCAGAGAGAAAAAAGCTATTAACAAATTAAAGAGGACTTTTACATGAACTTTGCTTAAGAGATCCAAAGAACACCGTTAGTCCTTTTAAATCTTTCACCTAGTGCTGCTCTATGTTGTAATTGAAAAGAGCAGAAAATGTTCAGACTAAAATGAAAGGGTCATATAAGTCATACTGCAATAACCACAGAAACTATTCTAAAAACACTTCAGACTCTTATTATGATGTCAAGGGGTGGGGAAAATATTGAACAAGCACCTGAAGTGGAAAGCAATTTGACACCAAAATCACCATTGAGTAGTATCAACGTAAAATCTGAAGTTGAAACATGTGACATAATGGTGTTAGAAAGATGTAAAAAAAAATTGAATTATCTTGAACTGGAAAGCTTTAAAATTTCAAGTAACTTTTTTGATTATGGAACCTAAATAGGTAAAAATAATAATACTACCAGCACACTGATTGTACAATAATATTCCTGGGATTTTAAAAGAAAGTTACTCTTCTCTCCTTGTTAGGCAACATGAAATGTTGGTTTAGGCTCCATCTAGACACAGCTGCTTGCCACAATTCAGATTACTTATCTAATGATGGCTGCTTGGCAATAAATTAATGAAAATTGTGAGTGCACTGAGAGTGACAAAAACTTTAATTATACCCTGAAGTTTAATGTATACACATCCACAGCCCCCTCATACATTCACACCATATCCTAATGCTCTCAAAATCGGGGTATTTTTTACAGTGTTTTATTTTCAAGAGCACTGAATCCACTGGAGCCTGTGAGTACACACAGAATTATTCATAATATGATGGCAGATTCTTCTGCTGATTGACATCCATAAAGGGAATATGAAACTCAAATATTTTCTGCTGGACTGGGCCTTCATGGCCTAAAAATAGTATTTTTTACCAAGTTAACTTGTTTGCCTCATTTATATCCAGTAGATCCCTAAGCAAATGGAATAAATCATGAGAATATTTAATTAAAACTGAGTACTTTTTGGAATATAACTATTTTCAAAGGCATTTAGTTAAACACTAAGAACTTAAACTCGCAGCATCAGTAAAATACAATGTATCAAAAACTACACCTCCAGCTAAATTTCTGTTCCTAGGAATTATAATGAAAATCAGCCACAGGAATGAAACATAATCAAATATAACATAAAAAGGAAGAGGAAAAAGCAGAAGTCTTTCCAGGATTCACTAAAAGCTTTATAAACAGTGTACAATAAGGACAGGAGGAAGTTGAACCCTTCAGGACTCTCCACAGCACTGATAACACCAGGAGAAAATACTTTTTTCTACCTTATCACTGTAGAAATCACCAGTTTTACCCTGAAAACTGAGTATTTTTTAATAACAAAACACTTAATAAAATCCCAAGTCATGCCATTGCTTTTCAGCAAAATGAGCGCTGCCATCACATTTCTTCAAAACAGCCCCAAGTGACCAGCACAGGTTTTCCTATCCAGTTCACTTAATCACATTGATTTCTCCTGTGGGTTTTTGGTACATGTATCCCTGTCAGAACACCAAGACTCTGCAACAAAAGACAGGAATTGTAACACTTATATTTCATACTCTGAGTATGAGACCCCTTTTTTATGCAAAGTTAACAAACACTTAGCTTGAATGTAAACAATTGGTATAAAAACAAAGCAAGTCAGGCAAAGCTGTTAAAGGCAAGGGCAGCAGTCACCTCAAGCTGCTGGTATCAGGAAAATCACAAGCAGCCCTTTGTATGTTTTGCTTGTATTTTGACCCTTAAAAGCTGTGCTTGCTGCCCCTGTCAGAGAAGGGGATGTTCATTTGGGGTGGTCTCAATTTCTGTGCCTGTAGAGGAGACGGTTATCTTAGAAGCAGCAGTTGTCACCTTAACAAAATACATTAGGACAATTTAGCATAATTCTGATAGAAAAAAAGCACCAAACCACACATTTGGCCCTACAATTACAATGGCCATTAATATATCATATTGGTTAAAATCAGTATTTAAGACTAGACACATTATTTAGTGTGAGGGAGGTGAGGCCCTAGCACAGGGTGCCCAGAGAAGCTGTGGCTGCCCCATCCCTGGAAGTGTCCAAGGCCAGGCTGGAGAAGGCCTGGTCTAGTGGAAGGTGACCCTGCCCATGACAGGGGATTGGAATGAGATGATTTTTAAGGGCTCTTTCAACCCAAACCATTCTGCGATTCTGTGAGGATTTCCTGAGGATATTTTGGTTTCTTTTTAATTTTTCTTTTTTTTTTCCCTCCAGGATTGTACACTAAATACCTTTTTTCTTTTCCTTTGTTTGGATTTGGTGGAGTCCTGTCCAATTCCACCATTCCCCAAGGCTCCTGAGGGGGTTTTCCCAAGGTGCTGCTGCCCTGCTGATGCTGGTGGAGTGGGTGTAGGGGGTGGTGTGTTCTCAGGGGACTCAAGGCTGGTCTTCACACTCGTAGACTGCCCTAAGAGATGCGGCTGTAAAAGCAAGATGTCAAACAGCCAAAATGTAATCAAATCACAAATAAACCCCACCCTAATTATTTCCTTCTCAAATTCCCTGTTGGAAGAGATGCAATACAGAATTCGGCTTTCTCATTCTGGAAGTTACTACAATATCTGTATAACATCAATGCATGCAACACAGTACTTAGTGCACTTGCCAATTTAAAAAACTTTTATCTCCAAATTTGCAACAGACCCTTGAACACAGAGAAAAGGAATTTAAAAAAAAAAAAAAGTATTTTTATTTCATTATAAAGATGCTGCTAAGTATTTAAAATTCAGAATTAAAATTTAATGTCTTTCCATCTAGATCCATAACTTCAAAGTTTATAAACTCCATAAGAGAAGTCTGTACCAATACCACATTCAATACTGACAACTCTGGAGAAAATACATGTAAAAGCAAAACATAAAATACATTTATATGTGAAAAAGCAAGTTTTACCTCAGTAGAGTTGTGGTAGTGTATGAAGGTGGCAGATATGGCATGACTGAATGGGTCACCAGCTTTGGAAGTCATGTCCTGTTTAACCAAAAGGGCCAAGTCCACCAGCTGGAGGGGCAAAACAGGTGAGGTTACTGACATGGTACTAAAAATGCCATTGTAACAATGGGAGAGTGAGGGCTGTGGGTTGAACCACAATATTCTCAGTGTTTCTCAGATGAAAATAGTAATCCAGATATTTCAGCCTAGAGAGCCTTTCTTTTCCACTTCTGTAAATATATGGAGCAATCTATCTACCCAAGAGGGCTCGGCTTGGCACTAAGGTAACATTTTGTTTTCCAGGAAATCCTTCTTTCTAATCCAGTTGTGCAATGGGATTGAATGAGCCTCAGCACACTGCCAGAGGTCACATAGCAAAGTGTGTGGTTTCAGTTTGGACATGAAAAAGGTTTGTGCTGGACTCCCCTCTCTTCTGCAGCCTCTATAAAACATTTCTGTTTGTGTATGAGATGGATGAACACAGCACAGCACACATCTGTCACACAGCAAATTGAAAGACAGCCCAGATTTTTGAGCTGGTTTAGTGGAAGGTGTCGCTGCCCATGGCTGGGGGTTGGAACTGGATGAGCCTTAAGGTCCCTTCCAACCCAAACCATCCCATGACTCCATGAAGACAGGTAGTTTGGAGAGCTGAAGCAGTGATTGCATTTCTGAAGGGGCTTACAACCCACACCCTGAGGTTGAAGTACCTCCAAGAGTAATTAATTCATTTTCACTAGAGTTAAATCAGTCCCTTACCTGGGCCACAGTCTCGTACGCTAAATATGCCAAAATCTCCATTGCAACTGCATTTGGCTTTATTTCCATACTGCTACAGTCCAGCCAGTCACGGAATTTGGATGCTTTCTTTGCTGTCAGTTAAAACCATAAGGGGAAAAAGAGAAGTTAATGACAGATAGGCCAAAATAATCCATTTTTTGGGTTACAGAAATACTGCAAAATTGAAGCAATTAGTGTGAGCATGATTTGATTGGCCAAAGAAAGAATTATCAAAATGGAACCAGCGGGGAAAGACTGTTATTTCATACATTTTGGAGACCCATAAGCGCATGGAACAAAGAGAAAAAACACAAGCTAACTGATCACACAGGAGATTTCAGAACAAGGAAGGGTCAACCTCAGAGGAGTATGGACTGGACAAACTTGCTTTAGAATATATTACTGTGAAATAAATAAAATTATTGCATTACATCTTCTATGAATTAAAAAAAAAACCACTAAAATAAATCAATACAGATATGAGTCCAGATAAAATTGATATAATTGTATTAACAATAGCAAAGACAAATGAAAGGCAGAAGAACTTGGAAGTCCTGGTGTTAACTTTACAGGGCTGAGGTGCTGACAAGTGAGCCAAAATTATTTGTACAAGAGTGTTTTTTAAGTGTGCTTTGGATATAAAGAAGTAAGAATAGATGTATAGTCAACATTCATACAAGAACTTCACACTGGTAATGGGTGAGATCAAGTCAGAAAAAGCGCAGAGAAAAATATGGGACGATAGAATGTAATATTTGCTTAGAGAGTAAAAGGAGGGAAAAAGAGGATGATCTTACTTAGGTCAGTGGTGGACAAGATGATCATAGAAATCTGTGGACAGAAAGGAGCTATTGAGACAGATCTTCATGAGGGCTGTTTGTGAGACAGGACAACCAAAATGAAGAAAATACAAGGTGGAAAAATCATCTGAAGGAAGTGGAAACAACTCTTTCAAAAAAGAATTTTTAATCAGGACTAAAAAGCTACACAAAAGTCAGGTGTTAAACAGAAAAAAGGTCAAGATAATGGTTACTTTCATTCAGGAGGTAATGCAAGCCTACAATGCATCACCAAAGAAAGGAAAACAAACAACAGAATGAGAAAGGAAGGGAAGGAAAAGGAAGGGAAGGAAAAGGAAGGGTAGGGAAGAGGAGGAAGGAAGGGAAGGGGAGGGGAAGGGGGGAGACAAATGATCACAAAATGTTCCCTAGAATTTAAGTTTGCAATTCTGTAGTACTTGATTCTTTGAGGGACCTTTTCTTTTGCCTGTCTTTAAAAGTGCAGAGATACCTGGAGATGTGATTATTAATATATATTTTTTGAACAGGTTTCTAGAAGTCCCTTCCAGGTTTATTCTCTTGTCACACAGTTTTTATGGGCTTGTATTACAGTAATACACTTCGTTAAACATAGTAACACAATCAATTTTTACTGAAATAAATAAGTAAAAGATGCCTTTAGACAAATGTTCTGCATAGCCTTTAGTACGTCCTCTCTAATTCAGCTCATTTTGTGCAATTGAATTTGTGCCCAAGTCTCTCTTGGTACTATTTTCTAACCACTGTAATTCTCTTATTCTTTAATGATATTAAATGTCAGTGAAAAATAACCATATAGACATGGTCACTTAAAAACACTGTGAAAATAGCACTGAGATATTTTTATAGATCACAATCTCTTGGTCAGCAACATTCTATTTTATTTTGCAAATTTAAGATTTTTATTTGATCTGTCTCCAGATGGCAATTTTGGGGTTTGAAAAATGACTTTATCACAAACCTCTCATTTCCTGAAGTCACCCTAATCTGAAGTATCATTTATCTAATGGCTCACAGATGTGTGATACCAAATTATAACTAAACATAAAAAACATACTGAATTAGAAAAAGAAATGCTTACAAAACATGTTTTCCTACGTTTGCTGACATTTGCTGATGGAGAACAGTATCTCAAATGTGTCATTTATTTCCCATAAATGAGTCACACTTTTTTTGAATTTAGAAGGAAGAATGAGATAAGGTCGCTTCTTTAAAGACACCACTGTGTTCTAGTCTGTGTTGTAGGATCATGTGCTTTTTTGTCATGACTTTTACTGCCTCCTTCACCTCCCTTTCTCTGACATTTGACCTAAAACCTTCGTCATCACCTAACCACTTCTGTAATGGTGTTTTGCTACATGATCAAGCCCATTAATTTACAGCTCATTATAGTTGTGGCCCACAAGTACTTCTAGTAAGTTGGTTTTCAGTGCTAGAAAAGCCCTAATTCTGTCATCATGTTATTAGTGTTGGAATGGCATATACTGATGAACTTGGCTAATGGTGAATAAATTCCACAGCAGGAGCTTACAGCTTAAAATAGAAAAGACTCTTTAGTAAATTCTTTGTGTCTCTGCGGATTGGGAAATAAAAGCAAAACTTGCTGCTCTTCTCTAATTTTAGAGGCATTCCAAAAAACCTGCAGCCATGAAACTTAGCTAATGTGCCGACTTTAGCACCACCACGACAGACTTTGGGCAAGAGTGGTTTTAATCCATTAACTCCTCACCAGTTCTATCTTTGCAGTCATCCCCACCAGCTCAGTATTTAAGCACAGAGAAAGCCTGGTAAATATTCAAATAAAATACTCTGCCTGACGGCCTGAAACTGCTAAATTAACTGTTCCCAGGAGTTACACAGACAAAGAATTTAAAGTTTTATTATTGTGGATGAAATAAAAGTGCTTTCAGAAAAAATGAGGTTCTGGTGTGCTATTAAATAAAATAATAATCAAACATTTTAATATACTGCAGCCATTATAATACTTACAAAAACTCAATTGCCGACTTTCACAGAATTCTGCATACTGGACTGAGTCCATGGTTCGTGTTTGTCTTTCTGCTCTCTGACAAAAGAGTAAAAGTACACGATGTACCTTATTCCAACAAAACTGCATTCCACAACAGAAATTATAGCACCAAAGCGCCCTCACCACAACCTTGAAGCAACCCTCCCAAATTAAACATGCATTGAACAAGTCAAGATGCAGAAATATAAACCACAGATGGGTTATTAGTCTTGTGAGTTAAATTTCCCAGAGGAGTGTGTCAATTCCTATTTGCAAAACCTGCCTGCACACTGCTCACCCAGCCCAGTGGTGAGGGCTGAGAGGAGAGAGGTGCTGAGCACTGCTGCCCTGACCAAGGTGCGTGTTTAAACTGAAGCACATGAGGATTCTTCCTATGTGTTTACAGATGACCAGAGAAGTAAAGTGTTCTCCTGAAATGAGGCCAACATGTTCTGCACCGAGCAGAACTGAACCTGTGTACATCTAAATTGTGAAATTAATATCCATCACACTGATGTACCAGGACATTGAAGTGTCCCTTCCCACACTCAATACACACTAATAAATAAATGGTACATGTGTCCGTTTATTTTTTTTTTTCACTCTTAATTTATGCTTGAAATTTTAAACTTGTGAACACTTCAGGAAAAGAAAGGATATCAGATTGAATTAGAGCTTGTGAGAGAAAAAGTATCTCCAAATGTTCACTACTGCATTTAAGAATGTATTTCACATGGAGTCCAGGGCCAACCAAAAGAATGAATCTCAGAAGAATCAATTTACAAAACCACAAACGCTATGCACACCCTCCCCTTCACATATACAGGATGCTGTAATTGAATCATGGTTGAAGCAGCACTAAAGTCCATGGTTAGGTCTGAGCAGGTGCTTCAGTTCTGTTTACTACAACAGAGCAGGGATGATTTTCACAAGGTAAAGATCTGGTCTCCACAGGAGATTAAACCCTTCACATATCAGAGGTATGAAGCAGTAGTTAAATTAAAAAGAACAACAGTCCCTGTCAGAAGCAGACAGCTTAGTCCATCTCTCAATCAAGCAGATTTTTTAAACAACAAGGAAAGGAATGTGTTTTCCTAATTCAATGTATAAATCATCACACCTGAACTATCGCTACAGATACAAAGTGGTGTCAGGAGAGGCTGATGGTACCAAGACTGTGCTTGTGCTGTGACTCCATGAAGCTCAAGAAACCATCCACATAGAAGGAAAAGTACAGATGTACTCACACAAGGACAAAAAACAAGGGAAAAACCACACACATAGACACAAATTTTGCTCGGACACCCTGAACAATTTTACATCTGATGAAATAAAAATTGCAGAGTTCTTCAATCTGATTTAATAGAAGACAATAGGACTATTGCTAAGTATGTATATATCTATATGTCTCCATGCTATACAACCTGCATTTGGCTTTATGAGCTCTCAAATCAGTGGGAAAAGAAATTAAATAAAATTAGCACCTCAAATTCACATTTTCTTCCTCTATTCTCTTTTAGGTCATTCTCCTAAAACCATCCAACCCTTCCCTTACGAGATTTGCTTCACAGTCTACATGTTCAATTTTGCTGTAAACTAAACCACAAGCTGACCAGGAATACACCTGGATAGTCTTTTCTTTTCTTCTCTACCCAGTCAATCATTTCGACTGTACTTGGACCTTTGGTCACCATGGTGACTAAAACTGTTCTATTCAGTCATTTTCCACTTCTCCTATGCATGGCTCTGGCAACCTGACTATATTTTGAGGAGCTGCCATTTCATATTAATAAAAATTTTCAGTTAATCCATTCCAACAAGATGTTAAGTCTAGACTGAGTTTGTATTCCTTTAAAAATAATTTTCACAATCTATGCTGTAACTTCGACCCATTACAGAATTCAACTCTGCCCCCAAGTTAATTCAGCTATACTTTTTAAAACAGAAGGCATCCAGAGATAATCTGATCTGAACTTCTGCATGGCACAGGACACTTCTCACAAAATACATCCTAGAACAGCAGTCCTACTTTATGCTTAATAAAAGCCTCTAATTTGGGGTTTAATTTTTCACATAATTAAGAGATATCTTCCTCAAGTAATTTGAAAAGCTGTGATTTTTGTGGTTTAAATTCTGTAATCCTTTTTTTTTCCTGTTGCCACCTATATGTTTAGCCATTGGCTATTACCCTTCACATCCAGCCCTCCTAGGGATTTAAAACCCCTTGAAACAACAAGGAAGGCATGGAAAACCAGAATCATATGACATGGTAATGTGAGGATTTCTTCTCCAAAGTCCAACATGAGATGATAAAAAAACCCCAACATGTAGAAATTTGACAAGGATACTTTTAACTTTAACAGGCATCCTATAATGTAATATGGAAACTGCAAAACCAGATTAATCCCAAAAGCAGTTACGTTAAATTAAGTGATTTAGCAATGGTTACTCTCAGCAAATAGACCACAAAGCTCTGAAAATGCAGACTGTCAAAGACTACAGGTTTCATTATAAGTATTACAAGTTTCTTTAAAAGTGGAAAACTCGAAGGTTTATTAAAAGAATGGTGCTGCTAAGGGATTTTTCCAATAGGGACTTAATTCCTCTCTACAAATTGTCTACAGTAGTTGTCTAAACACTGGATTTAATGTTGTTCTTATATACTAAATAAATACTTTCAATTGCTTTCTCTCTGTACAAATATTTTTATTTAGCAAAATTAATTACATATATGTGAAATAAAATTGTTTTCTTCCTTCAATTCTCTCTTTAAAATAATTCTTTCTTAAAGATCAATTCCAGGGTGATGCTCTAAACCGCCACCAAATAAAATAGTGTTTGCCATAAATAATTGAACTTTACTTTTTATCCTAATTCACTTTAACAAAAGATCCCTCACATGATGGCATGGAACCTCATGGTTTGAAGGATAAAGACAGACATTCCTTCAGTCCTGCCAGTTTTAGAATAGTCTACAATTAACCATCAAATGCAGCAGAAAGTAACAGATGAGTGGCACAGCTGGGGCATCTTTAAGGAAATACCATCCCAAAGACAACATCTCTTTCTTCTTCACTTCTCAAGATCACAAGCAGTATTTTATTTTTTTCTCCTATATCATCCCCTCTTTGAAAAAATGTAATGTTCCCTTCTCTTTGCACTCCTAAGGTATATTTGATAAACTCAAAACAAATCAGTGACATGGGATAAAAGGGGAGAAGAAAGAATGAGGACATTACTGTGAACATAGCATGACTCCAGGCCAAAAGAGTTTAAAGAAAATGGGATCTGGTGTTGGGAATGTCACAGAAAATTTGTTAAAATAATTTTGTCTGTAAGTCTAAAGGATACTTACTTGTCCTTTTTCACAGTTTTGGGTTTGTTTGTTTGTTTGTGTTTTGTCTCTTTTTTTTTTTTTAAACAAGAAATTATACAGGATGTTTAAACAAAGAAACAACTTTAAATTTATACAAGTGAGATTTTATAAATTTTGTTGTTGGAAGGAGCAGCAAGTCACTCCAACAGGACTGAAGTCCTCTTTTATCAGAAAAAAAATCCAGTTTTTTGGGAATCTTTCTAAGATGAAGAAACAGTGAAACCTCTAATGAAACTCCACCTTGAAGCAACCTCAGCTTGAAAGCAGATACAACAAATGGCAGCAACGACACTGCTCAACTGATTTAGCAAAAAAGTTAAAAATAAATAGTTTTTACTCCCTCTCTAGTAGTACTAGTCACTCTAAGCAGTTAAGAAGCTGAGTTATGTGCTGTACAGCAGAGTTAAAATACTTTGCATGCTTTCCTTGGAACATGCTGAAGGATGCAGTAGATAGGACCTGGCACAGTAAATGTCTGCTTAGTCTTCCAAAAATGTGGTGCATTATATCTTTCTTTCAGCATAAAGAACTAAAAAGGGAAAGGAAAGAAAAAGGTAAAGAGTTGCACATTGTCACCTACCGTCCAGGATGAAAAATAATCTTATTTTTATTCCGTTTTGAAGGTTTCACACTTGACATACAAAGCTCTTTGTGTGGGGGGAAGAAGGCAGGAGGCCAAACTTTAACTTGCTCACTGACTGCTCCGTGTTTGGAGGAAATGTGCCGAGGAGCTGCTAAGCTGGAACATTTGAAAAACGTATGTGGCATGGCTGGACACCCCCGTGCTTGGCAACAATGTTGGGATGAAGGCGCTGGCTTCCCAAACCCTCTTATGGCATGATTCCCTGATTCCCTCTGCTCAAGAAGTCTCATTGTGGGTTTATCATGGTTTCAAAGGAGCCAGGTGGCTACCCCAGAGAAAAGCAAAGCTGCCCTGCAAGGGCTGATATTGCTGGAATAGAATGCTAAGTAATTTATTTTTCATTTAGACTAGAGAATAAGAGGCCACTGTGCACTGTGCTTGACAGCTCTGGGGTGGGAGGACAAAAACTGCAGAGCGGTCAAGGCCCAAACTGTAGGATGGTTGTAGGGCAATGGAGATGCTCCAAGGACTGGAGCACATATCCTGTGGAGCCAGGCAGGGAGAGCTGGGGCTGTTCAGCCTGGAGAAGAGAAGGGTCCAGGGAGAGCTCAGAGCCCCCTCCAGTGCCTAAAGGGGCTCCAGGAGAGCTGAAGAGGGACTCGGGACAAGGGATGGAGGGACAGGAGAAGGGGGAAAGGGAAGGGTTAGATGGGATATTGGGAAGGAATTCCTCCATGTGAAGTTGGGGAGGCCCTGGCACAGGGTAGCCAGAGAAGCTGTGGCTGCCCCATCCCTGGAAGTGTCCAAGGCCAGGCTGAGCAACCTGGGATACTAGAAGAGGACCCTGCCCATGGCAGGGGGTTGGAATGAGATGATATTTTAAAGCCTCTTCCAACCCAAACCATTCTGTGGTTCTGTGAAAAATGACCTAGATTAAAAAAACAACCCTGAAAAATCAAGCACAAGGTAGCTCAATATTGAAGTATTTACAAAATGTGCTGAAAATGCATATTTAGTCTTCTGAATTTTGACATTATCTGAGGATTATCACTATCTGAAGACTTCTGTAACATAGAGGACAAAGGTATTTATTGTTCT